ACAACAACCTTACCTCCAACTCCACTTCCCCTCCCACCGCTACATCCCCCATATCCAATTCTACGAATCTGCTGCCAATACCATTATCACCCCCAACAACTTCACTTTCCCCTTACTCTATTATTCGAAAATCTTCGCTGTGCGGCGTTGCATCGGTATTGACCTCTCGCGGCATCCAAAACCTCTTCAGCGAGTTCATCCGAAAGATACCACCCCGTCTTCGCAGCTTCGTTTTCCGCCATCCACGAGGAAAAATTACATAATCGATCACGCGATCGATTTCACCCCACACTAAACTCAAGCATGTTTATCCTCTCTAGGTATCTTTCGAAACGGCGGACAATCGTAATTTATAGCAACGAATGACGACAAGCTACTTTTCTTACTCTACATAGAGAAGTCATTTTACAACAACAACAACAACAACAACAACAACAACAACAACAACAACAACAACAACAACAACAACAACGACGGCGATCTGATCTTCAGTGTTTTGATAATTTCGTGGCGAATATGAATAATTTCGTACAGTTCAATTGAGTTACAATGCGGTGTAATTTACGTAAAAGTTGGTATACGAAAACTTCAACCTTTTTTGCACGCATGTACATAACCATCATCATCATCATAATCGTCACAAGATATACTTCAGAGCCTCCATTTGCGCCCTATTGAGATTTTCCGGAAATTCGACCTCAAAACAAACGATTAAATTTCCGAATTTTCCGGGCTCCTTCGAAATCGGCATCCCCGCATTTGACACAATCTCGCGACTTCCAGGCTTGATCATATGCTCCACCTTCAACCTGAGACGCGCTAAAAAGTCCCCAATACGGAATAATTTACCCATCTATAATCGTTACCTTCTAGTAGAACCTGCTAATGTAGGAACGTCGATCTCGAAACCAGTGAGAGCTTCCTTCAGCGTCACTTTCTTCTTGTACGTTAAATCAGAACTAAAATATGCGATATGAAAATTCCAAGGAAAACGAGAAAAATTTTTATGGCTTTCTAAATATGTGTATTCCAACTCTCAGTGCAAGGCGGAAATATGCACATGATCAACTACAAGTGTTAGTAACAATATGAAAATCGCGGGAGGAAATTTCGACACATTTATTTTTGTGAATCATCTCGAAATTGTGGGTGAATTCCTATCATTAAAAAGGAAATTCTCCAGCAGTAAAACAGACATTTTCCTCCAACTGCGAATAAAAAAATCAAAAATATATTATTCTTTCCTCAACACTTTTACAGGAATTATTTTTTCCTGCAGGAAAAAAAACCCCAAGGTAGTTCAAACCAATTCTTAAAACGTCCGGGGTGATTAATTCCGAATTCCCAACGATTATACCCACTTTACTACTACTACCCGCATCGTTCAAACAGTGGATGCTCTTTCTCCCGTATGATGAAAGCCACATCCTGGCATCTCCCACTACACCCAAGCTCATCTCCTTCCCCACTGAACGTTATCTTCGTGCCTGCCACAAAAATCACAAATAAACGAAAAAAATTCAGAGAAATTTTTTCCGATCTGAATTTTCCTGATTTCGCCAGGAAAAAATTTTTCAAGATAAAAAATTAATTTTGAGACACAAAAAAATTGTCAAAAAACGAAGGGAAATTCTCAAACATAGTTTTCGTGCTCCAATCAGAAATTTCCACAAGAGAATCGACACACAAAAAATACCAAAAATTTCACCAAAATATCTACACAACTATCATGTTGAATTTCTCGTAATTTTCACTCAAAAAAATACAAAATTTCTATAATTCGCGTAAATATTCTTTTCTTTTTTCTACAGAAAAAAAATTTCAGACACTTTTTCTACCAGCTTTCCATCCTGGTTTAACTTCTATCTCCAACGTCGTTTCGGGCAGCCTTTGAACGGTACAGCTCGAACGTTTAATCTGAAATGAAAACCGACAGACGCAGGAATCGAACCTGGGAATAAACATAAACCGGGCATAATTCAGTCAGTTGTGGTAAAGTAATGTTTCACAACTACCCTAGTGATAC